AAACATGAGGAGATATCACCCCCAAGACTGTGCTATGTGATATGGTGCTGTTGACTCTAAAATGGGGAGCTAACCTGGGTGGGCCTGACCTAGTCACATAAACCCTGTAAGAACAGAATTTCCAGACTGGTCACAGAGCAGGAAGCCAGAGGCTGGAAACTCAAGACAGATTTCAAGTAGTGTTGCTGGCTTGGAGACGGAGGGGCCGCATGCCAAGGGAAGTGGGTGGTCTCTTGAAGCTGATAACCAGGAAGGAAACAACCCCACGGAACTGGAGCTTGGAAGCAATTTCCTCCCAAAGCCTCTAAATGAGAGGCCAACCAGGTTGCCACCTCGGTCTCACCACGGGAAACCTGAGCGGAGACCCAGCTGCGCCGGGCCGCACCTCTGGCCCACAGAGCTGTGAGCTGGCGCACGGGTGTGCTTCGCAGGCGCTGTGTGCGGCCCAGACCATTAACTGCCTGGCTGCTGACCGAGAAGTTGGGGTCCAAGTCCACACAGAGTCACCTCGGGACCAAGGTGACAATGTTGTGCAGCACAGCTCTCCTGTGACACACGGGGGATCACCGTGAGTTGGAAGTGACCCAGCAGCAGCTGTTTTAGTTGTTGTTGCTGTTGTTTGTTCAAAGGGGTGTTAATTTGTTACTCAGACCCAGAACCTGTCACGGTCCCTCATTTCCTCCAGCCCTTTATTTCTTCTCCTGGATGAACGAGGAGAATGGAATATGACCTGGGTTGACTGCCATTGCTGTTAGCCGTAGGTTGGTCGGGGAAGCATGTTTGGATGTGGCATGGATCCCAGAAAGGCCCCTCCTGCCTCCCTTTGCTCAGGCGATTGTAGAACAGGGAAGTGGTCCAACAGGTAGGGTGAAATCCCTCCCTGCTTGTCGCCTGTAGGGAACTGAGTCGGTCACAGCATCTCTCAGCCACCCTTTTATAAAACGGGGGAGAAATAGGTCCAGAGCAAATGTTTGTGGCACTAGGAGGCACCACAGGTTTATGGAAGCAGATGAACCCAGGGCCCCTCGAGGACTCAGATGCGACCTGCTTGCTGCTCTGTTCCCAGTAGTTTCCACAGCACTGGTAGTGGGATAGGTCCTGGCTTTTCTGAGTGCATGCATGCTTGCTCTCCATTCCTCCAGGGCTCGCTGAGTGAGGTATGCTGATGGCTGGCTACTTTGTGGTCGTTGCAAGGTGCCTAGTGAACCCTCTTTCCTCCAGTGAGCAGACAGCATCCGAAAGGGGCCCAGCTGGGCCTGCGGGCATCCATCTGAGCATCCCGCATGATAGTCCTTTATTAAAAATAGTTAACTGGTTACTGAGAGTCTAATTTATGCTAGGTGCTTCTGAGCCTAAAGCTCTTCCGTTTGGTGGTCGATCAACCATTTGTGGCAGGGAGCACTCCTGATTTTGCTGAGGAAGCAGTTAAAGTTCAGAGAGATTGCGGAACACCTTACAGCTCAAATAGCAGGAAGCTCATTCAAAAGATCACTGTTCCCACCATTTCACATCCCGGGCCTTCCTCCCAGATGGAGCCACAGGTTTGGGACATATGGGAAGCCTGGGGGTCTTCATGGGGGGGATTGGGGTTCCTGTCAACTGTCCCATGGGGTCACCCCATCACTCCCTAGCCGCCTCTAGGGGGAGAGCAGAGAAGAGGTGTGGATGACTCATCAGTGAGTGAACGTTTGTTCAGGGACCCCTGGGAAATTTTAGTATTAAGGCAGGAAAATCCACACAACAAATGCTTTGTTTCCTCCGTCTTCCTGCCTCAAAAACAACCGCTTCTCAGAGACACCAGCTGTAGTGTGGAACTACTGCTCGTTGCTGTCCGGTTGGCTCTGCCCTGGCGACGCCACGTGTGACAGAGCCAGGTGCTGTCCAGCCTCGCACCATCCAGCTCCCGGACGGGTCCCCTCGTTTGCGCGGCCACTTTGCTTTGCCAAACATGAGGACAGTTAAGCAGAGCAGAGGACTTGAAATGTCATCATTACGAATTGTATCTGGATTTTGTAAATTTTGTTCCAGAATTGTTGCTTAGACTGTCAGAAATCCTCCTTTGAGATTGTTTTGTTTTCTGGTTCTTCCAATTATCCCTTGTTCTTACTGGCCTGCAGGCTGCGATTTTCGGATTGGGATTGCACAGCTACCTTAGACCTGTACGGGCACTGTCACTTCTAGCAACTGGGTCAGGTACAGTCGTCCACCCCTCCGTGGGCGCCTCTCTTGGGTTTAGGATATGCTGGCTCAGCAAATGCACATAAGCCTTTTTGGGTGGAGCTAAGAGTGGTAGTGACTGGTGTCATTATTGTTTCTGAACAGTTTACCTGAAGTGGAAACACTGTGAAACACCAGGCGTTAAGACTCTCTGCAACCTCACTAAACTTCTGAATAGACTTCAAAAAGAACACCGCGATGATATCTACCTTTACACCTCCGGGCACCTAAATCCCAACAAGCTCTACAGGCCTCCGGAAACGATCTTATACCACTGGCCTAATGCCAACAGGCCAAGGAGGGAAAGAATCTCCAGAGAGGAAAAGCAACCCGATGAGACGGTGGAGAAGATGAAGGACGCGCTGGCTGAGTTTACTATCAACACCGCTCTGGTTCCAGATGACTCTAAGAACACACCTCTGTTCAGGTACCTGAACCCTAAGGCTCCTCTTTCCCACCCAGACGTTACGAAAGGGGGTTCCATTCCACAGGAAGTTGTGAAAGAAGAGTCAGAGGAGATGCGTGTGTTTTCTTCTGAGCAGCTAAAGAGAAAGGAGTTGAGACTGCTGGGGATGAGAGTTCTGAAGTACAAGTCCATGTCTTCCAGCCGCCAGTGTGTGGTGGCTCCTCCCAGCAAGGATGAATACCAGTACATCGACTCCTACTTAGCTGGTGTCACTAAAGCCGACAGATACAGGCAGCTCTTGTGTTTCCAAAAAGATGTCCTTGCAAAGCAAGACCTTCTGAAGAATGATTACACTGGGAGCAAAGCAGTGATACACCATGAACAGAAGTTGGAGCAGGTAAGGAAGTCAGTTTTGCAGTATGACCAGCCTATGGTCCAAGGGGAATCAATACTGTGAACAGAGAGACTCACCCCCATGATGTACATTTCCAGGGAGAGGGCCACTCTTCGGCCAGTGCTGAGAGCATAGGACGTGAGAAGTAGATGCCAGGTTCTATGAGTTGGAGGAGTTATAACTGAAAGCATCAGGGGTCACGTGGCAGCCGCAGTGAGCAGCATGTTTGTGAGACAGCAGAAGGACCTGAAGGGTCAGGTTCGCCTAACTCCTAATGTTGCTGTTGTTAGTTGCCATCGAGTTGATTCTGACTCATGACAACCCATGTGTGTAGAGCAAAACTACTCCACAGGATTTTCAAAGCTGTGCCTTCTGGAAGCAGATCACCAGAGGCTCTGGGTGGGTTGGAACTACCATGTTCTGGCCAGTAGTTGAGCACTTAATGCTTTGTGCCATCCAGGGACTGTATCAGAATGCTAATGATACATGAAGAAGGGTTGGTGAGCTACATAATATAGGCAAGGTCTGCCTAGAATCTTAAATCTCTCTATAACAGCAACTAAGTGTGATAGGAAGGAGCCTGGTGGTGCAACTTTAGCAATTAATGCTTAATGCACTTGGCCACTTAACAAAAGTACGGCCATTTGAATTTACCCAGCAAGCTCTGCCATTGAAAGACCTGTCAATCTGCTCCCATAAAGAAAACAAGCTAGGAAACCCCATAGGGTAGTTGTGCTCTGTCACATGGAGTCATCATGAGTCAGTATTGACTTGACATCATATAACAAATGTGAAGTGAAGTGCTGCTATGACCTAGCTAAGGACTGTGAGCAGGACATATTGGTTGGAGATATTATATTTTAAAGACAAAGAAAGAGGGAAAAAATAGTTTAGTTTGAAACAACCAAAGCTTGATGAGATGTTTGGTTGAGGACTGATGGAAAATAGAAAGGGGTGGAAAAATGAACCTCTGAATGGAGAGTGTGACAGAACAAATAAAGAGAGAAAAGATCAAACCAAAGAAGACATCTGGATGACAAGTCATCAAGAGTCTCAGCCTGTGGAGGGGAATCAGTTATCTGGGTTTGGCACTGGCCTCTGCTAATATCAGACTCTTATGTGGAGGAGCTGGAGCCTTGGAGGGAAAGCCCCCCAGTGGCTGTGATTCCTCAGCCTGAGATGCTCTGTTCTGAAAGGGGAACGAAGCAGTCCTGAAACAGGTTGGTTCTGTCTTCCCTGCAGGAGCTCCAGAAAATAAGCCCATGCAGTGCTCCGCAATTCAGCCGACTGCAGATCTTTGGAAAAGTCTTTGAAGATATTTGTAATAGTTCCTTAATATTTGGTGATATCCTCAGAGAAATTAAGGTAAAGTCCATATTTCCCACATAACTGTTGAGAACTGTGCAAATTTGGCATTTGTTATCTCAAGACTCACAGAAACTCTGCCAACTGTCGGGACCTCGGTGCCACAGATGGGACCAGTGACTCCCAGAGATAGGAAGGAATCTACTTAAAGCCACACATGTCATAATGGGCTCTGTGGAACAAACAAGCACTTAGCTTACTTCTTAAGCCCATATTTTCCCACTAAGCTTGTTAATGATGTATCATCTCTTGTAAGTTGTGCATCCATAGTTCTACATTTCCATAGCTATACATATGTACATTTACAGGAATGCTCTGGAGTTATGGATTAAGAGAACAGTTTGTTATAATTTCATGACAAGAGTGACTGTCTTAGTTATAGAGTGCTACTGTACCAAAAAATACCACAAGTTGATGGCTTCAAAGAAAGGAAATTTATTTTCTCTCAGCTCTGAAGGCTAAAGGTCGAAATCAGAGTCTCATCCATGTTGGCTCCTTCTGTGAGGATCTCTCCTAATTTCTGGTGACAGTTGGCAATCCTTGTCACCCGTTCCCCCCACCCCCCACCCCATATGTGTTTTTTCTGTTTTTTTTTACAAGACACTACTCAGCAGATATTAGGTTTAGGATCCACCCTATACTAGTATGACCTCATTAACATAACAAAGGAAAATCCCCATTTTCCAACAGGCTTACATTTCTGGGCACAGGGGTGAGGACTTCCCATTTCTTTCTTTGATTTTAGTACAGTAATTGCCATGTTCTGTCTTTTTAATTTAGTTTAATTTTGCTTGTGAAAGAAAACACATCAAAGGCCATGCTGCTCCTGCAAATTGTCTGTGCACGATGCAGCGACATTGTTTACATCCAACTTGTGTAACCTTTCTCGCTGCCCTTTACCAACTTGCTTCATCACCATGAATGTAAGGGCACTGTCTACCAAGGTTCTCCTCTAAACTTTTGAGAAGGTACTGTCAGTTTAATCCCACCTAGGTCTTTGAGAGAGCACAGTGGTCAAGGCAGACATATTTTATAATGTAGGCAAACTGTTGTTTGGCTCAAAGCAGACTTTAAAACATTTTTGTTTGAAGTTTAAAGATTATTTCAGGGCCACTATTTCTGGTCCTTTTTTTTCCTCCTCTTTTGATCAGGATTTTTCTCTAGACTCTTAGATCAAAACATTTAGGAGTGGTAGCTGGCCAACCCAAGGTGAAATCAGGTAGCTTACAGGTCCTGCTTGTCTCTGTGTCCTTGATGACAAAGACTACTTAAACTTGGTAGCACATTGGCTCTTCTCCAGAGAAGGCTCACACTTGTGGACAGCCGCTTCTGTCCAACTGTTCATCAGTCCTCAGGCCACTGAGCTTCCCCCGTGGCAGGACGTCTTTGTTGTGTGTGTTTCAAGGTACCATTTCATAACAATATTCTGAGGAAACCAGTGGTTAATACTCTAGTGCAAAGATGGTAAGATGTTATAAATTTTGTCATTTCTACTGCTTAGTACACTGTAGGAACATTTGTAATTTTTGAATAATCTAAATTGGCATCATGTTACTTATACACACACAAAAGTTTGCATTGTTCTTTATCTCATCACATGTGTCCAATGGAGTTTTTATTCTCTTTCCCTGATTCAGAGCGAATATGAGTGCTACATGTCCATCCTTCTGGACTCCCAGCCAACAGCCCAGTATAAGGTAATGGTCAACCCTGATATCACATCCCTTCCTTACATTTCAAATTCAATTAAGTTTAAACTTCTATCTTAGAAATTAGGAAGCAGAGTTTCTTCCTACATGACAAATCAGAGCATTCCAAGGAGCAGGTTCTGCCTTCCTTCTCAATCCAAAATCACTCCTGGGCATCATTTCCTTTGTTTTCTGGCCACAGAAACATAAGCTTCTTGTTTTACAGGAACACACAAAGAGTCCAGTTGGGGGCCTACCTTGTTCCTTACTTTGTGAAGCTGAGCCAAAAAGGAACATGTGCACCCATATCTCAGTCAAACTCCAGGATGAAAGAACTCCCAAGCCAATAGGGCTCCAGGTCGTTATTTCTTCAAAAAAGAAAAAAAAAAAAAAATCCTTCTTTCTAAAAAGTCTGAAGGCTGGGCAGGGCCCATCCCTTCTCAAGCAGTGATCTTTATTGCCCTACACTGGAGTATAATATTGCTTTACCTCTATGTATAGTAATTGAATTAATACGTTTTATAATTAATTTAGAAGAACTATTTTACCAGAAGGATTATATTCAGAATACTCCCCCTTCATGCAAATCAACAAAGAGAGCCCCCAACATTTATAAACATTTCTTAGGAAAAGGAAACCTTACATTTCAGAAGAAATTATTTTACCTAGAACTTCACTTGACTAGCTACGTTGTTGTTGTTTGCCGTGGAGTCGGCCCCGACTCATAGCGACCCCTCCTTGGGTTTCCAAGGCAGTATCACTACGGAAGTAGATTGCCCAACCTTCCTTCCGAGGAGTGGCTATACCTCCTTCAATATTCCTCCCTCCCTTAAATCCTTCTTGATTTATTCAACTATAATTTATATTTTCATCCAGGATGGCTTGAAGGCACTGTAGTTAGCAACAACATGCTCACAGCCTCCCGTGTGTGTTGTCTCATAGTCTACGCCCCTTGTCTTATCTAGACGTTGCTGGCTCACATCAAGGGACTAGAGAGGAGGTCTGTGAAGACAGCAGATGTGGACCAGGCCAAGGAGGAGTTGAAGGTGGTTGTGAGGGCCGTCAAAGCTGCCCTGGAGCACAATGACAAGTAAGGTGGCAAAAATCGGATTGATCTATTTTTGGACACAGTTATTCACAAGTGCTTAAACCCAGGTGACCAACATGTATTCCACTTTACCTGTGCTGTTGGGTGTGGTGTGCTACCTCTTCCCAGGTCACACCTGCCCACTGACCTCTTCACAGGTCATCACACATGTGACTTGGGTGTTTTATTTAACCTAGCTTTTCCATGGTGGGGAGTTGGAGAAGTTTCTGGAAAGGAGTCTCATTTCTCACTTGGTAGTTCCACAAAGACTTACTGAGAGATGAGAGGGCTGCAGAGTTAAGATGCTTCTCATCAATTCCTCTATTATTTTTTTTAACTTAGAAAATTCACATGAACTCTCTGTGCAGTCTTTCAGGGTCCAATCACAGTTGGATAGGAAATATTGTTTGTCATAATGGCATATGTAAATCTGAAACACTCAAAATATCCTGAAGAAACCCCCAAACCAAAAATGGACTATGCTCTCAGTGTAACTAGAAAATGGAAAGCATTCAACATCCAAGCTACCTGTAAATAGAAAACTGAATATCAAGTGTCAGCTACCCATACTTTTGCTCCTCCTGCAAGCATTGTGAGAACAAGTGCAATTTGACGAAAAGTGCATGGAAGACACAGGAGTGGAGCTAGTGGAAGGCAGCAAATTGCTGTCAATAAGAAGGAATACACACTACATGACAATGTTGCCTAAGTGGACTGATAGACCCACCAGAGCAGTGGCTATAAGGAGGGGATGTAAAGTGATGTGGAAGCCAGGGGATAATTATGAAAAAATAATGATATGGGAAGAAGAGAGTTAAGAGGAAGTGAGAAGCAGCCTTCAGACTGTGCAGTCTGGTAGTTAAGATTGTGCGTCAGGTTGGCTGGGTTGTAGTTTTGAGCAGCTTGGGAGCTGGATATAGTTATTCCCCGTAATAGACTGGATATGGTATAATCAACTCCATGGTGGAATCTGCTGTGAGCAGTTGATAAGATGAAGGAGAGCTGCCTTTGGGGTGCAGCCTGCTTCCAGTATATATGGAAAAGCTTTAAGAAAGGTCTCTAGCTTTTTGCACATTTTGAATCCTGCATTTGGCCAAGTCTTCACCTCTAGTTCCCAGACTTGAACCAGTGGCCTGCTGTG